ATATTTTTCTCAATTCTTAAATCTTTTTTGGGAGGAGTATTAGTTCTTATTCTAGCTTCTTTAATTGAAAACTTGCTCATTTATTTTCATATATATATGTGTATATACATAGATATAGACATACATATATATATGCATACATACATACATATACACATACATACATATTAAATGGACTTCAGGCCTTACATTTCTAAGTTCCATTGTAGCTGCATCTATACAAATATATATTGTACTCTCATTATTGTTTAGTTTTCATCTGACTTTCAAATAGTTTGGATTAAATCGTTTCTTGATCTTTAGGAAAAAAAATGGTTTAGAAGCACTATTTTAAGATCCATTAAACCTATCCAAATTCCCGAGCCTATATTTACCTATTCCAACATTTTTGAAGAGTGTTCAGCAAAATATTTATGTTTTATTTCAATTGACAAATAAGTTTGGGAAGAAAGGCTTAAATGAAGTTAAAACAAGTTTCCTTAAAGGAGGATTAATATGCTAATATGCATTGTAAATCTATAAAAAGAGAATATAGAAGGCAACATTTTCTAAATCCATCTGAGCACATATTTTTGTTCGTTTCTTTGATAAAATACTAAAGTCTCATGGAACAATTTATGTTTAACCACTCTGTAACACTTGGTGTCAGTATTACTAATTCTACCTATAATCATCATTTAGTACTGTGTTAGGCAGAGTTGTTAATTTCAATTAATAGCAGTCACTCTGAACAAGTTTAAGCTTAAAATGAATTTATTAGAAGATAATAAAATAGATTTTAAAATCTCCAGAAAAGCTAGAGAATCAACTTTAGAGGCCAGCACCAATACTCACTTCACATCACTGGTGGTGCTTTTTGGCACCACTAAAATGGCGGTAAAGTCATTAAAAAAGAAAGTCACAAATCAACAAAAATAGCAAATGAAAAAACCAGCAACAGCACAGTTTGAAAGCTGGAGAGCAAGTGAATGACTGCTTACTAGTTCTTCATTAAAGTAATGTACTTTGATTCTAAAAGATCAACCGATTTGCAATGGAATAGAACAGAGGCCTCCAAAAGTGAAATCTTCAAGAGAAAGTTAAGATTTATACATTATCTAATGAATCTGACACCTGTGTATCTGGCAAAAAGTTTGGAGATGAATTTGTTACATATATAGATAGCTAAGCAAAGGGAATAAATACAATTTAAATTAAAAGAGTATTATACAGTATAACTAAGCCGTAGATAATATTTGTAGTCATAATAATAGAAACACTGATATTGATCTAATCCAAAATGATAACATATCTATATTGGAAGGATAGAAGGTAAGGAAATGAGTAGGTAGAGGAGCAGGACGGATGAAGTGGAACTAAATATTTATCTTTCTTACAAGAATGTGAATAGATATCTGAAGCTAAAATTTAGAGCAGCGGTTAAGTATGTTATCAAGACATAAGGAGGAAAAAAATGCCAGAGCAAACAGCTGATTCCAACGTGCTTTACCTCTGGAGCGTGGGTATAGGAAGGTAACTAACTGACTTTTAAAACTAAGTATATGTATAACTATTTGTTGAAACACAATTTAAAAATACAAGTTTCCTTTGGTGGGAATATAAAATGGTGCAGTTGCTATGCAAAACAGTATGGCAGTTCCTCGAAAAATTAAAAATAGAATTATGATATGATCCAGCTACTTCACTTCTTGGTATATATTCAAAAGAACTGAAAGCAAGTTCTTGAGGAGATATTTGTACACCCAAGTTTATGGCAGCATTATCTACAATAGCCGAAAATGTGAAGGCAGCCCAAATGACCATCAATGGAAAAATGCATAAACAAAATGTGTGACATGGATTAAAACTTTGAAGACATGCTAAGTGAAATAAGCCAGTCACAAAAAGACAATTACTATATTATTCCACTTATATGAGGTATCTAGAGTAATCAATAATAAGGCATTTGTTTTTTAAAAAACAAAACAAACACAAAGATACCATTAAATTTATTATTAAATGGTATTAATTTTAGGACTCATTCACCAAATATGATAATTTATTTAAAACAATCCATTGTGAATTATGTAAAATTATAAATTCCCCTAATATTTATAAATGAAATTAAACCTGCCATTAGGAACTCTGCATTTCATAGGCCACTAAAATCTCTATAAAGCCTGATGACCACATAAAAATGCAGTGCCACATCTGCACATGTAACTTCAAAGCAGTGACTTCTCACAATTCTTATTACCAGTTAGATGAAGAAAGTCTTAAGAACTCAGAAAGAGATGACGATTTTAAAAAGAAAAATAGTTAAATTGACTAATCATACCCTTCCGAGAAACAAAGTCAACTTTTGGATGTCGGGTCTGGTCAAAATATTGCCAGTTGATCAGAGTACTGCTATATAACACGCAATTTGATTTCTTGTCACCTCATGTTCTCTGTCCTCTGAAAACTTTTCTGTTTCAAGACACTAGCAAATTTCTTGGCTTTGCTTTTTTGAATCAGAGGAGTGTATTCTAACTTTGGTTTTGAAGGAGCTTATTTGCTTTTAGTTTCAAAGAAATAAAACTCATGATTTTGGTGGTCAGAGTACACAGATGGGATTCACACAAATAACTATTTCATACTCGATTTTATTCATATTCTTGGATTGGGACAAGAACCATATATACGTATATTTTAAATGCCTACAGTACCTGGTATTCTGAGGTGGTGTCCCATCCAAGTACTAACCAGGCCTGACCCTGCTTAGCTTCTGAGATCAGATGAGATCAGGCACGTGCAGAGCGGCATGGCCTTAGACAAGAACTGTATTTTTATGTTTCCATGGGTTTGAGTTCACATCAAAACAGCTTTTTTAAAAAATTAACATTATGTAGTCTGACTTGTAAAACGTTTATAAATGATTTAATGGATTGAAACAGTATTTGCCATAAATGTTTTTAAAATTGAATTGCTATTAAAATCTCACAAAAGCCTCATACAATTTATTGCCTTCTAAACTCTATTTAATGGAAACGTATTTTACAATTTCCATTAATATGTAACTTTAAAATCTCATTTCTCAAAAATCTTACAAATTGACTATTTATGACATTATAAGACAATTTCAAAGAGAAAGCTTGCACAAGGATAGCCTGAAAACTGATAACGATTTTTCATTTCATAAACCAGAAATTTTTATTTTAATAATGGCAAAGTATGAAGTCTACTTTTACATGTCATTAGAAAGAATCACAAATGTTTGGAAGTCCATATCCATTAGCCTTCAACACAAAGTTTACAAGAACAGATAAAAATCAGGCAATCTAAATATCCACTAACTGGTAAAATGATAGATTGTTTGAACGATTCAAAAAAATAATGTTATACAGTAATAAAAATTAATGAAGTGTGGCTTCACTCATCTGCATAGATGAATTTTAAAGTTTTTCGCCAAAAGTTGAGGAAAGCACACATAATGATTGCGTTTACATAGAATTCAAAGAGACCAAAATTAAGCAGTGCAAAACTATAAATTCAAATAGGGGGATGACGAACGGAAAGGAGAGTGGTACCCGTGGGAAGAGAGCGAATGTAATCAAAGAGGCGCCACAATGAGTATCAAAGGTATGAGTCATGCTCTGCTCTCAGAGAGAGGTAGTGAGCACAGGGATATTTACTACTCATCCTTAAACTGTACATATTTGGCACACTCCGGAGCAAACGAAAGAGAGACCATTATATAGACAACTTTTTGGAGAAGCTTGATCTTGATTAAAATGCAAAAAAATAAGAGTAGATGGGGAAAAATGGATATTTAGGTTTTGTTTTTGCTCTCCTGCTTTTAACATATGAAAAGAAAACATCCGAATGGCAGAGAAAGAAAGGTTCCACTAGAGGGGAGGAGTTGAAACAGGAGAGGAGAGGTGATGAAACAAGTTATCTGAGTCGTCTGAAGGACAGGTCCAATGCACACCAGGAGAGGCTGGCCCTTGAAAGGAGGAATACTACCTAATTCAACCAAAAGGGAGTAGGAAGGGTAAAAACAGGCACAGATTTGTATATTTGGTGATGGGGAAACCAAGGTGCATCACACCTGATTGCTGTCCCTCTTGAAGGAGGCCAGGTTATTAGCTGAGAGGCAGGGCCAGAGCTGGTTTTGAGAAAAAGTGAGAGCATGCAGTAAGTTTCGGAAGTGAGGGCACTGACCACGCGTAAATGCAGAGGCTCTCCTGGACATTTCCTTGTTTCCCTCATCTCTGCCTAGAATGTATTTCCTCTTCCTTTTCACCTAGAAAAATCTTCCCATCCTTCAAAACTCACCACAGGTTCTGTCCTCTGAAATCTTGTCTATTCCATGGCAATCTTATAGCACTTGACTCTATCACTCATTTTTTCACTTATTCATGGAATGTCTTGCAGTAACTCTTTCTGTTATACGTGATTTAATTTTTATGTGTTGTCTCCTTAACTACAGTTCTTGAAGCCAGAAATTCTTTTTTTAAAAAAAACACTGTCCTTCCCTCTCAGAAAAACTGTATTCTCATACACACAAGGAACATTTAGATGCATTTTCTAAATGTCATCTACTGGAACAAATATCCTTAAAAGCAAATGATAAAATAATTAAGACATACATGAATAAGTAAACTTTGAATCCTCCATTATTTTCTTATAACTGCTCCTGGTTTTCCATTTTAATTTTAGAACTGACTTTTTAGAGGTTAAGCAAGAGATCCAATGTTAACACATTAGTTTAAATTTTTAAAAAATTTAAACAAATTATTTCTAATTATTCAATTTTTTCTTTATAACTTTTAATGTGTTTTTCATGCATGTAGTTCTCCCAGAAAATGAAATAGAATGTCATCAGCAAAGACAAATTATGTTAGGAATGCCATCTTGTGGTTGAGAGTAGTTCCTTATGCTAACATCCTTTCAGGGACAATCTTTAATTCAGAAATAAAACATCCAATAAACTCACAAGTGTGTGGAGAAGGAAAAATTAAATATATGTATCAATTGTGTGTGGTTTGTCAAGACAATGTTCATTGAAAAGAGACAATGGGCAGATTACAGACAAATGGACTCCGTATAATACAGAAAACTACCAATAACTATAAAAACATACTTCTATTAAGACTATTCAAATAATCTGAAGTTTGAAAATTTTTTCTCTTGAAATAGTAATTTTATTTCTGAATCCACTAAGTAGTTGATTATTACATCCTGGATTTAAACCATGTATCTCGATTTTTAAACTATACCTTCTAACTATAAACATCCAAAGGGGAGAGGACAGAGCACTTATCTGATTTGGATGGTACAGGACACATGTAATTGTAGCCCAAATGGAGTTTGAGTTGAACACACTGGCTCTATCTTAATACATGAGGTGACTAATTCCTCTATGCAAGTTAGCCATTTGAGTGGTAAATCTTTCTCATCGATAGAGAACTAGTTACGGTTACATATATAGTACTTAACAACTATGCTTAAATATTTTAATTACCAGACATTTTGGTCCACTTAAAAGTGGGGGTGATGAAGCAGAAAATGAAATATCCCTCAGGAGTACAAAGCACAGCACAATAGCACAAGGGTCCATGCACTATGCTACTTCTTTGTCACTTCTAAATTAGGGATCCAAGGAGCATGTGTACAGGTAAATTGTTCAGAACCAGAGACAAGGCTACTGAAATTCCAAAAGGCAATTTACATATAGACATAGGTATCTACATAAAAAACAAAATGCTACTGTACTCCAAATCGCCTTTTGTGATTTATTATTGCATGCTTATTACCAGAAAAAAAAAATTTTACTCAGAAAAACTCATGGGAATTGATTCTGTATTAGTTTTTCCACGTGACTCTTCAGGACATTCATGTCAGCTGCACAGACCTGGTACTCCATCTTCTCTTGCTGTTTTGTTCTCTCTAATAAAGCCTCATGTGGTGGAGGTAATGCATTATATGAACTCAATAAATAAAGCTGACTTGATGAAGTTTGGTTGATTTCTTTAATCTTTAAAGCCTGCATGATAGCAGGTGCAAACTTTGAGTAATGAGCTGTAGATGAGACAATCACTGGGCAAGTTTTGTCTTGCATTCTGTCTGCAACCACTTTTGCAACAGCGGTGTGTGGATCCAAAATATACCCTGAAGTATTGTAGGTGGAGTGAATAGCTGCTAGGCACTCTCCTTCAGAGCACCAGTCGGCTATGTTTTTCTAGAATCTTTTCTATCTGGAAGTGATGCTGCTCTTCTAATTGATTAAATAATTTGGTCACTAATTGTCCGTCTTTATTAGCCATCAAGTATAAATGTCGTTCCAGGTTTGAAGATTTGAGAATATCTATTGCTGGTGAAAAGGTTTGGGCTAATTTCCTTTCCCTTAGATCATAATGTCCTGTTTTTATAAAATCAGTCAAAACATGGTTCTGATTAGAGGCACAAATAAATTTGCGAATAGGAATTCCCATCATTTTGGCATACACTGCTGCTAAAATGTTACCAAAGTTCCCCGTGGGGATACAGACATCCACTGGGCTTCCAAAAGAAATAAATCCTTGGCTCACGAGATCAAGATATGCAGAAGCATGATAAACTATTTGGGGAAGCAGTCGGCCCCAGTTTATGGAATTAGCTGAACTTAAGATTGTCCCATATTCCACAGTAAGAAAGCCAGTAAACTCAGAATCTTTAAAAATTCCTTTCACAGCTGTCTGGCAAAAATCAAAATCTGACTTGACACCCACTGCCCATCCATTTTCTTTCTGACTGCCAATTATTTGTGCTTTCTGAAAATCACTTACTCCGTTCTCGGGAAAAAACGTGGCTACAGCTATTCTTTGCTTGTCATTCTTATTAAGACGACTAAAACCATTTAAGACTGCACTCCCTGTGTCTCCTGAGGTTGCTACTAGTATCATATAATTACAACTTGGTGGAATACAGTGTGCAAACAGATGGGGCATAAGTTGTAAAGACAAATCTTTAAATGACCCTGTTGGTCCATGAAATAATTCCAGGATGAACTGGTTGCCTAAAAGGTGCCTGACAGGGGCGATTTTTGAGCAGGCAAAGTTTTCCCCATAAGCAGTTTCGATCATTTCTCCCAATCTAGCTGCAGGTATGTCAGCAGGATGTATGCACTTTTCCAACAGTATTTGGGCTCTTTCTATATAGGTTGCTCCTACTAGGCTTTTCCACTCCCCACAGCTTAATTTTGGAAATTCCTTCTCAGGAACAAAGAGTCCACCATCAGAAGCTAATCCTTCAATCATAGCTTCGCTAAAGAATTTCGTCGAAACCTTCTGCTCATCGTCTTTGGGGCAAAAGTATCTTGTTGAAATGAATGTTTCTGAGTCCACATCTTGGTATCTTTTAACTGCGTGAAGCACTTTGTCAGCTACCTCCTCTGGGGAAGCCCCATTTTCACAAAAAACACGAGTATCGTACCACTTCTTATAATACTGTCTTCTACATTTAAGTAAGTCTTTCATAGATGTTCCAGGATTCTGACCTACAATCCTCTCTACTTTCATTAATTTTAGACGACTAACTATATCTATTAGAGGTACATCCAGGTATACGATTATTCCATTTTTCTTCAGATGCCACATGCTAGCATCATGCATTGGATTGGACCCGGTAAGGGAAATCACACTTCCAGATGCAGAGAAGTTTAACACAGCTTTTCCTTCCTCTTCTAAAAACTGCTCATTACCAACATCCTGTAATTTTTCAGACACACTCATATTCCAGGTTTTTTCAAGGATATCATCATCCACATCTATGACACAACAACCTAGTTTGTGACCTATTATTCTGCCTACTGTTGTTTTCCCAGCACCAGGCGGTCCCATCAGGACAATATTTTTGTCTCCGACAAGAGACTGGGTTGAGTGCCATGACTTCCGTAATTCTGCAAGTGCAAAGGTTCTTGAAAGAAATAGCTGGGCGTGTTTATCCGTTTTGATGTGTATAACAGAAAAACATTTCTGAGTTATTTGTTTCAGATGCTGACATCGGTTAAAGTGGAGCATTCTCTTTTCACTTTTCTGCCCAAGCCAACCGAAAAACCGGCTTTAGCCCTTTTCAAAACATAAAAACAAAACAAAACGAAAGACATTTGGTTACTAATTTCAACAGTTAAAATCCCAATAGGATTGAATATAATCATGCTCACAGTACATAACTATTTGAAGCTCTTCCAAATTTATGGGACATTTAAAAAAGTATTAGTACCCCAATTCTCATATATTGCATATTATCCTTTTAAAAAATCTTTCAAATCTCAAAGCACTGAATAATCAAAACTTAATAATGTGTAACTATTATGCAACAGAAACGTAATTCAGAAAATGCCATATCATAGATGCTTTTCAAAAAATATATACTAAATCAAATTAGTATTTCTTTTCCTGTAATGAAAACTACCTTATAATTTATAACTCATGCAAACAAGGATTATTTGGAGTTGGAATTCTATTTACTTGCAATTCACTCTTTAATTTCTCTTTAGTTATATAAACATGTGATAGACTATTAGGCCATCATGTTACTCATAAATTTCTTAGTTATAGAATTCACAGCAGGAAACCAGAATAAAATATTTGCTTATAAAATGCTTAAATAACTTTCCAAACTATAGGGGCAAGGTATGACATTTTTTTTTATGTGCCTTTTATATGCATACTGTTAAGAATCATTCTTACATATTTTTCATGTAAGGCCTTTAAAAAAGCTAAAGTGAAAGGTATAATATGCAAATAGTTAAGAAAAATTTATAATCACTGGCAAGGTCAAAGGCTACATATCTATAACCTTATCTGCATGGGACCATCACTTTTGTCTCTGTCCTACAAACATCATCAGTGGGGAGACTTAACTCAAACTCAAGACTCCAGGGTGATAGCAAAGAAACTTGGGAATTTTCCAATGATAAGAGGAAAAAGCTATTCTGGCGTCCAAAGCGGTTCTGCAATCCCTTATACTGGTCGAATGCCTGTTTTGGGGAATATACTCACCGTTAAACACAAATGTATGCCAGACACGTCAAATTCAGTTGTATGTAAAATGCAAGTTAATAAATTGCTCATTTAAGTTGACTCAGGTAACTTCAGTCAAATGCAAGCTAATCACTTCTGCTCATTTAAATTGACTAAGGTAACTTCGCAGACATGTAGTGGAGTTTTTCACATGTTCTGTGGTAGAATCAAAATGCGACTAAGCACACTAAATATTAGATGGTACCTTTAAATATGTTCTGAAAACATTCAATCATTTACTATTCTGATTATCAATGTTACTTAAACTGTGGTCTGTAATTAGCCATTTAAACCATTTTAAGCTAACACTGAATTTAACTTACAAGTTAAATTACGACTGTCAAGAGAAGAAGTACATTTCCTTATTTGGCTTTTCAGCTTTTATTAAACTGTATTCAGCTTGTACGTGCTGTGCTTAATTCCCACTGACTTGTAAACATATGACACACGGGAATCAATCTTAGATGAAGAGTCTGTTGACGCTGAGGCAAAGTCAATCTTAGCAAAAAGTGGAGTCTATAATGAAAAAAATCTCAAGTTAATCATAACTTCACACAGTATCATCAAATTCTATATATAGACTAGTCTATTATTAAAATATCCACTGAAATATTTAAAGTATAATAAAATAATGAATGGACCCTTTTCATGTTCCCCAATCTGTTATTAAACGACACGTGTGTCTTACAGAACTTTACTAAACATTAGAACTGAAGCCATTTCTGTCATCAAGCAATATAAAATACAATATAACCAAATAATAAGTACAAAATCTTTCACAATGATACAATTTTAATGATTTAACTGTATGTGCAGTGATCAAAGGAAAAAAATCAGTGGACTAAAGCTATGAAATGAGTGTCTGAATTACTCTTTTAGGTTGTTTTATCCATTTGAATCACTACATGATTTGTATATGATAATATCTACTGTAAAATGTGCAAATGAAGCATCTGCCACACACAGGTAGCTCTATTTAAACGAGTTTATAATAAATGCAAAGCATATACCATAGTGGCTGGCACATAAGAATATTCGTATATATAGCCATATTAATCATTGTCACTCAAAGACAATGGACTAAAAACATACAAATTGAATCAGAATATCTAGGCACAAGGTTAGGCATATTTTTTTTTTATGGTTTGGTTTATAAACCTTAAGAGAAAATAGTGGTACTCATCTGTAAATTGAGAACTGTTTTGCCATGCAGTCTAATCCTTTCCCTAGATTAAACCAAGGATCAGAGAACTGTACGCTGGACCCCAACAGCAATTTCTTTGATTAAACTGTATTCTGGTACTGTACTTTAACACTATTTTGAGAGCACTGAATAAAACAGCCTGATTAACCTCCTATTCAGGAGGCTTTTGCTTATAAAACCAGTGTCTTCTTTTTTAGTTCTCAGTGCATAACTTTGTGATGTCTGTGTTAGTATTAACTGTATATTCTCCGAGTAGCTGACTTGTTTTTACGGACACTACATCTTTTAAATGATCTTTTTCCCCACTCTTGTTGGTGGTTATAATGCTTAACATCAATGCCATTAAAAGTAGAAGATTGTAACATAAACATTATACATGTTAACTTCGCCTTAACTTTTGTAATCTTACTTTTCCTGTTTTATATGAATTAAAAACAGAAAATTATATGACAGTTCAATTTACTGTGTATCAATATTATTTCATCAAAAAAAAATCATCCTGACTCTAGAAGCAGTTAAGTGCTATAATATGTAACAAATATCATTTTTAAAGAAAAAGATGAATTCTATTTTAAGTTACATACTAAATTTTGTTTTATAACATTTAGCTATAAGCTAATTTTAGGGCTTCGACATCCATTGTAAGCAAACCATATGACAAGAGAAAATAGAAAAAAGCCTACAGCATGTAACTTTTACCTGGAAATTGAGTTTTTTTAAAGAAGTAATATAGTCAATTCTTGTTACTCATAGTAATTATGTTCTATAAAGTTACTATGAATATTGACTTAGTGGATATTGAACTGCTGCTCCTATGGGAAATACAGGGTTAGGTTCCTGTGAGCCTCTAGTCACAACATGTCACCAACTGATCAATACATAAACTTGTTTTCTGTGCGTTTCTGTTTAACATATATATTTAACATATATATTGTTGCTTCATTTCCACTGAACTCCCAGCCAAAAGCACTCTTAACTCACGCCTGAATGAAGCTGATCTAACACACATTGCTCTGTTAGGCGCCTGACAGCAAGTTGTCGTACTCTTCAGCACTCTGCTCTGGGGCTATTTTAAATAGCAAAATCATCAACTAGAAGCACAAAAATGTAAAAAATGTGGCACTAAACGGAACTGGAAAAGGACATTTATTTACAGGTTGAGAGCTGAAACAAGGTGGTGGTGCATTGCCTTGCTTGACCCAGCTTGGAACATGTGCATCGGGCAACTCAAATTTTCCACCACTGTGAGCATGTCCATGAATGACTGCAAAAGTGATGTAACTATTAATTTGGGGTTATAAATTTTAGTGGGTACCTGTAAAAAATGAAGATTGACTGCATATCATTTTCCTTTGATTCAAAGCCATGTCATTAGACATTTTTCATTTTATATTTTAGTATGTCTTTCAGTACCATGGTCATATACAGGCAATTTTTCTTCAGCCAAAGGACAAAACTACTTCAAATTAAATGGAAGTCAATCATGTAAGAGTCAAAAGTCAAAAACAGTACTTAAAGACCAAATCTCTTGGCCATAAAGTACTAAGGTTTTACAGTATCCTTAATGTTCTCAAATATTTTTTGTAGAGCCAAGTTCTACGCAAAAATGTTTTAGTTATTCTAACTCCTCAGAGGATGGAAGATCTACACGACTTTATTGTGCATTAATTTTTTTACTGCATTAATTTTTTACTGATATTATGCATTAATTATGCATTAATTTTTTACTGATAACTTACAGGGGAGCTTTTGACGTATGTTAGTATCACAGCAAGAACTTTAAAAACAAGAAGTCCACATGTACACATTAATTCAAGTGCTATATGACCTCAAGGCACAAAATTTAACAACTTTATTGTGACTAGCTGATCAAAACTGAATAAAGTATTCAAGGGGGAAAAAAGTACAGAAATCACTTTTTAAATTGCTTTTAAATTATTTCCTGTGAATGCTAATAAAGTTGCATTTTAAATCAGAAATACACACTAATTTCAGTAACCTATTTACTGTTTTCCTAAGTTTACACTACATGAGTGACAATCAACCAAAATCAAATTCAACCCATTATCAATTTTTACTTTGAAAATAGTCCAGAAGAATTTTTTAATTCCATTATAAAATTACCTAGTTTCCAATTCCTTTGTGAAATTGTCAAAATCCTACTTAGTCAAAATGATTTAGCATTTGTCACTCATTTAAAATGTTATTATACTCTCTTCCAAAATAAAACATAAGATACAGCACTGCAAAAATTATTTCATGAGCAGCACTGGCTATAGTTCAATGAAGTTCCAAAAATACACCATGATTATGCTTGTCATCCAGTATTAATGAAATCTCTATTTCAATTTCTCAGGTGAATGACTAAATCTAGTCTATTATCTTATGAAGATATTTTGAGGTTTTTAAAAATTCTTAAAAATTATTGCATTTTTACAGCAATAGTTTCTCGATAAGTAATGACAAAAAACAGCAAGATACTAGGACATAAACTAACCAGGGAGAGGTAAAGCTCTACTGCTTCTGACTGAGCAAACAAAACCTCTCAATGAGCCCTTCAGCCAGCCAGTTCCTACTTTCCAACATATATCGAGGTGGAGAGGGTGGAAGGACCACACACTCCAGTGCCATGTTGTCATCTTAGGGATCTTACACTCAAAAGCAGTTTTACAAGGTCACCACTCATCTTAGCCTTTATCTTAGTATCAAAGCTAAGTATTTCCTGTTGTTTCCTTTTGCTGTTAGATATCCTCTTAATGGTCTCGAGTATCTAATTCAAGACTTTTTAAGTACCCTTTTCAGTTCTTTAACTTAGAAAAATATTGTAAAGTATATCTTTATACAGGGTTTATAGTCCTCACGATTAGCTTATTTTGTATTCCCACCTGTGCCCATTTTCATATTCATCTAAATAGATTAAAATAATCTAGAGCCAAAAAAAGAAAAAAAAAAACAACACCTAATTTGTGCACACAACTGTTTACATCAGGGGTTTGGCAAATTACAACCCACAGGCCAAATCTGGCCCACCGCCCTTTTGTAAATTTTCACAGGGACAAAACTTTGCTTTCATTTGTTTTGTATTGTCTTTGGCTTCTTATGAGTTATGATGGTAGAGTAGTTGAGACAGAAACCATCAGGCCTGCAAAGGCCTAAAAAATTGATTATGTATCTAGCCCTTTACAGAAAAAGTTCATGACCTCCAATGGTATATCAACACTAATTCCCTGTGCACATACCGGATACAGGCATTTCCTTGGACAGTACTGTCATTTTGAGGGAATTATAAAATTTAGAAATATATTCTTTGTAAACATGCTTTCAAAAGAAAAACAGAATTACAGACCAATTATTTAAGAAAAAAAAGTTCCTTTCCAAGTGATTTAGCAATTTCATAACTGTAAACTAAATATACTACAGTGAGATCTTAAATTGTTTAATATTTTTTAAACCATAAGTTTACTAATATCAGTGGAAATACTGTATTCAGAAACACCAGAAAGTCAAGACTAAGTGAGCTAAGGCCACTTGGTTCTTAGTAAGAGGAGAAATCATGTTTTTCTTTGTTCTCTTTTAGAAACTGGTTAACGTAAACAGTCCCAAAGTGTTCCTTCTAATTAGAAAATTTATAAGCTTCGGCAAATGACTATGCACTTGGTTAATGGTGTTATCATTCTGAGTCCTTAGTTCAAATCTTAGCATATAGAGAGAACAGAACTTTTCTCTCTACACGCTAAGCAAAAAAAAAAAAAGAGAGAGAGAGAGAGAAAGAAAAAAGGAAAAAAGGGCAAGGTAGTATATACATATAAAATGTTTCGAAAAATGAAAATCTGATGTGTAGGAGAATCATCCCCAAGACATCACTGATCAGAAATAAAATATTTGTTAAATGCCTGGGATAAAAAGTAAAATCTCATAAAGACCTACACATTCAACATAGCCTTTGAAGTAGGAACTAAAAACCACCAAGCCACCTCGCTGTTTTAATCCCTCCACCTAGCACCGAGGCAGTAAGACGACTAAAACTGGTGTCCTCACGCATCTGCGGGCACTTTTATTCCCTTTAGGCAGAGGGGCCAGCGGAAGGTTGGTTCACAACCATCTATAGATCTTCCTTCTCAAATCATATTGCCAAAATGTCTTTTAGAAACCCAGGATGGCAAAGGTCTTTCTAAATGAGTTTTTCCCAGCAGTCATATGTGTATAAACAGGTTTATGGAGGACCAAATGGATTCAGAACGGAAGAAAACCGCTTCTCAGAAAGACAATTTCAAAAAGGGACATCAAAATAAATGTGCAAAAATTAAAGGGCCCATATAAAAGGCTTCTTTGGTTTCGGCTGTTCGTTTGAAAAACAAAGTCCACACATAGTGGAAAAAGACCTAAGATAGGCCCGATCAAGAGGGGAACAGGATGGAGAGCAGAGAACCGGCGAGCCGCGGGAGAAAGCAGGGGGGGCCGAGGGGAGAACCGGGGCGCGGCAGGTGGACGGATGGGAAGGGGCACGACAGGTGGATGGATGGGAAAGACCGCGGGACGTGGGCGCACGGCGAGTTCTGGGCAGCCTGGGAAATGAGCGCAGACGGACAGTTGAGATGACAACCGAGTAGCGGAAAGGGGAAGGCATGCGACGGGAACGCACTGGTTTCTACAGTGTCCCTTTTTCCGCAAATAACTCACCAAGAAAATCATGAGAGGACGGGAGGGAGGAAAAGAAAGGAAAGGGAGTGTCCAGGAGCCGCCAGTGTCGCCTCGGGATCGAACCCCGCAGCTCTGGCGCTCGCCCCACCTCGCCCACAGCCCAGGCCGGAG